GGCCCAGAATCAGCTTGGCAGCAGACTTGGTGAAGTCGGGCAGACCAGTGATGGGCAGGTACTCGTGGTTGGCAGTGGGATCGGCAACAATGAGCGAGTCGACCTTGGAGACGACAGGAAGAACCCAGGGCTTTCCAGTGTTATCTCGGTAGGCTCCGACTCCGAGGTCGACCTTCTTATCGAAGGTATCGGCCTTGTACTTTGCCATGAGGCCGAAAAGGGCATCTGCGGGGGCTGCGGGGACTGATGCAAAGTATGACACTGTGTTAGTTGTTGTTCGTGATGAAGGCTGTCCAAAATCGGGCTTTCGTGTGCTTTTCTGTTCGTACACAAGCGGCAAACGCCCGTTTTTCCTGATTGTGCTCACTGGATGTGGCAATGGTGGTGTTGCTGGTCGAGGGTGCGTCGTAGCTTCGGTTTGACTGGTCGCTTGAGCAATCAATGCGTTCAATTCATACTCACTTATAAATATGAATAAATAACTACTTCGAAAAAAAGGTAGTGGAGAGGGGAGGGTTGCTGATTAAAAAGATGGGGTGATTGGCGGTTTGGATTTTGTGTTGGGAACGTGAAAATAAAGCCAAAGATTTGGTTCAGAGTCACGTGGTGATAGAGACGAGGTAAAGAGTAACGAGTTACTGGCTTGGGGGCGCTCTGTCGGGTTAATAAATAGAGTCGTTAGTCAAATGTCGTGAGATGACGAGATGTTGAGTAGCTTCAGCGGATCTGTGGGGGCGGATGCGTCTCTTTTATATAGCAACCGGTCGAGACAATTCATCCTATTTAGAGCCTAGTTGCTACCAACTTTAGACTCCGAACAATTGTGAACATAGCTGAGAAACCCATGATACATACATGATACATAAAAGTCTGTCAGTCTCTTGCATGCCGAGGCTAATACAAGCGTGGCGGAAAAATAAAGGACAGCCTACCAGTACAAAAACTAGACCCACGACATTGAATGTCTCGAATTCATGACAGTGTCAGAAATGGCCTAGACAAGGGGAAAACGCGGGGCATTCTTACAGGTCAAAGATTGCGTCCCAATCTATTAATTCCCCCCACCCAGAACCCACTTATCTCCGCGACTCCCCCTCCTTCCGGCCTAACGGCTGTACCCCAGTTGTAAAGCCACTCCGATTCCCCGCATCTGAGCCTCTCACCAAGTCTCCTAACCCTCCAGCTCATTCAGGCAACACAGCACACGAAGCGCAGACTCGGCATGCATCCAAACTTTATTACATATTAGTACATGTCCTTACATGGCGTTGGGACGTGCAGTCTGGAGATGACCACTGTGGAGAGGAGCCCCAGAGACGCTATAGACCACTACTTGAGGCATTTTTGAGTAGCCATGAGGTTGCAGAAGGCTCAACTTGGCCTTTGTGTATCAATTGAAGCGGTAAGGTGCCTTAATTGTCCTTTATCTGCCCACATCTCGCTTTTAAATCACATGCGTATAACTCTCATTTCCCCTGCAACAGTCGAAGAATATTTCTCCCTTTTTTGCAACAAGCGTTGAATCGCCCCAGGCTCGGAAAAGGTCGGAAAGTCTCGGAGCGGATTGGAAGAGAGCCCCAAAGGTATAAGCCGTATTACTGAGGGTTTCATCCACTAGAACCCCACTTTTGAGCTTTGGGGACTTGTCACGGGCGGTGTTTAGCGCACACGACCCGATGTCTTTTTCGTTATCGTGGCTTGCTTTTACCGAATAATTAGTCACCTCGTAAAGCCATCTAAATCAACTTTCGGATGACGATACACGATAATTACACAAGTGTATTTTTTCATTATTGTCCACCAACCAACATGTGACATCTGACAAACCCGACACGGCCCAGCAGTCTAGTGCATCGCGCCTGTTCCGTACTCGCACATTACCCCAGCTCTTTTGGGGGCGTCAAATAACATTCACAACAGAGCCGATCATGAAAATCTGTGTCAATCGCAGCGGGCCATACTTTCTTCTACTGCGTCGGAAAAACCCTCGTTCTGACCCGACTCTAGCTCTTTGGGTTCACGCCCCATTCATTCTGGACCTCTCCTCAAACCCCTCTGCCGAAAAGTCCCAATCGGCTCCCAAAAATAGAAAATCCCGACGTCCCTGCATACCGTGCATTTGGCTGTATGTGGAATATGTGAACGTGTGTGGAGCGTGTTAACCCGTGTGGTCTTCTGTGACCAGTTTGCGTTCCATTGCCGAATGTGGTATAGTCGGGTTATTAGAAGCTATTCGTGTGACTGCTTGCAGCTATTTAGGGTCTCACCATCAATGTTTTCATAGAATACCAGACAGCAAGGGTTCATACTGTTCTAAGTTGAGTTATCAGAATCCAAATAGGGTGACGTCACAGTTCCTACTCCATCCACGTCGTATGATCTTGAATTGGCCCACAGGAGAGCCACATTGATTTGATTTAAACCACACGACGATATGGGTGGGTGAGTCACAACTGCAATAGGAGATGGTACCGGTGGAGTGTCGGTGTGGATAATTATTCAGCTGTCATTTCGTTGACGATATTACGACTTTAGCCGAGAAAAAGGCTTGGCAACGTGTTGTGCATTCGGACTCTTTCTGTGGGGTGGCATGTTTGTTCATGATGGGGCTTTATGGAAAAGTTATCGCAAACTTTATGGGCTGAACCGTACAAGTACTCGTACGAGTACAAGCACCTTGTAGGATGGTCGTGTGGATAGAAAATGTCTCCTGTTGTTGTACTTGTACAAGTACAAGTACAAGTAAATCAAGCTGTGTGACCCACCATTATGGTTGATAATCCATGGTCATATATCCACCGTTCCCTTTGAAAGTATCCCAACTTCCCAAACTGAACCATGACAGTTTGAGCCACAGGAATATCCACACGGCCCAAAGAGGGAACCAATCAGCAAATTCTCAACAAGTAGAGGTACTGTTTGGTGACCGTTCCGCAGCAAAGACAATATCTTGTAGAACAAACAAATACCCCACTTGACCCTCCCTACGGCTATTTCTACCACAACTTGTGGTATGAGACAAGGGTGTTTTACTAATACAAAAGATTGAGAACGCCAGTTCAGTCTGAGTGGGAGAAATGAGGCCATTCGGGTGGCTATTCTTACAGTAGAGACAAATACCTATCCATTGCCTCGATATGGCCATCCATTGGCTCGTTAAAGAGACTAGATACACATTTACCAAAACCACTTGTTTGATACACCCGCCCCCAAGCTCCGAGGTGTGCGGCTCTCAGCAGCTAACCGCCCATATCCACTTGAAGCGGAGTCTCCGCACACGCACTTTCCGTTGCATTGCGGCTCATTTAATGTATACCCGAATCAAGGTTGGGACCGTTGGGTACGAAGATGATCGACCTTACAATTGAGGATACAGTGAAATCTCTGAACTAGATACCCCTGAGACGCGTTTGACACAAGATACCTGTATAAGACGTTCACTTCTTATTACTTGCGTCGTCTATCTTCTTATCCATGATCTACAAACACACCAAAGACCATGTCATCAAGTGCATGCTCGACGCACATGGAATCACCTTCATGGACGGATCACGGACCCTCTATTGCGGCGATTGAGCTGGAATATACCTCAAAAAGGTCTATATAAGCACTTAAGTCATCCTATTCAGTCCCTCATCTCAATACACGCACACAATCACTACAATGAAGGTCCTTCTTATTCTCTACGACGCCGGCTCTCACGCTGTTGACGAGCCCAAGCTTCTCGGATGCACCGAGAACGAGCTTGGAATCCGATCCTGGCTCGAGTCCCAGGGACATACACTGGTTACCACCTCTTCCAAGGAGGGTGCCGATTCTGTTCTTGACAAGGAGATTGTTGACGCTGATATCGTCATCACCACTCCCTTCCACCCTGGCTACATTACCCGAGAACGAATTGCCAAGGCCAAGAACCTCAAGATCTGTGTCACTGCCGGAGTTGGCTCTGACCACGTTGATCTCGATGCTGCCAACGAGCGAAACATTGCCGTTCTCGAGGTTACTGGATCCAACGTGCAGTCTGTTGCTGAGCACGTTGTCATGACCATGCTTGTGCTGGTCCGAAACTTTGTCCCTGCCCACGAGCAGGTCATGGCTGGTGGCTGGGATGTTGCCGCTGTCGCCAAGGACTCTTACGATATTGAGGGTAAGGTCATTGGTACCGTTGGAGGTGGCCGAATCGGCCAGCGAGTCCTGAAGCGAGTTGCCCCCTTCAACCCCAAGGAGATGCTCTACTACGACTACCAGGGTCTTTCTGCCGAGACCGAGAAGGAGCTCAACTGCCGACGAGTCGAGAAGCTCGAGGACATGCTGGCCCAGTGCGACATTGTGACTATCAACTGTCCCCTTCATGAGTCCACCAAGGGTCTCTTCAACAAGGAGATGCTTTCTCACATGAAGAAGGGTGCCTGGCTCGTTAACACCGCTCGAGGAGCTATCTGTGTCAAGGAGGATGTTGCTGAGGCTCTTGCCAACGGTCAGCTCCGAGGCTACGGTGGTGATGTCTGGTTCCCTCAGCCTGCTCCTGCCGACCACCCCTGGAGATCCATGCGAAACAAGTACGGAGCAGGAAACGCCATGACTCCCCATATTTCTGGTACCTCCATTGATGCCCAGGCCCGATACGCTGAGGGCACCAAGAACATTCTTGAGGTTTTCTTCTCCGGAAAGCAGGATTACCGACCCCAGGATATCATTTGTATCAACGGTCACTACGGTACCAAGGCTTACGGCGATGACAAGGAGCACTCCATGAAGTAAATTAGATGCAATAAATACCAGTTTTGAACTGCTGTTCGACAGTAGATATATAGGTGACCCGTCTGTACCGCCTTCCCCCCCAGGTCGGGGATAAAACAGTATGCACAGCTACAGATAGGATACATGATACCAGGAATATGAACTATAGGAATGTCAAACAAGGCAAGATATGAAATAACTGAAATATTAAATAATAGAAGATGGGTGCAAAAATATAACTGTCAGTAGGCATTAAAAAATGGTCCCTAGCAGGATCGAACTGCTGATCTTCGCGTTGCAAAGAGGCTAATTTCTTATTAGCACGACGCCTTAACCAACTGGGCCAAGGGACCGGGGGATTATGCTGGAAGTGCGTTGAATCAATATATTCTTCAATTTACGAAAAATTTCCCGTTTTTTTTTTTTTTGGGTGGATGTTATATGAGGAAAAACAACCAACAAAAACCTCCGATTCGAATATGACTTGCGGATTTTTGCCTTATTTGCTGAAATGTATTTCCCTACAATAACAAAACCTGCCAAAAAGTCGGCTCAAACTTCGGCTTGGTAGGAGTGGGATTCAGCTATAACTAAACCAAATTCCTAAACCACAACATACTCTCTACGATACCCCTCATATTACCCCCTGAACTTGTTTCCGATGGACCTCGGAAAAGAAATTAAAATTCTGTCCGAGGTTCCGTTGTTCAGGTGTCATTTTCGGGATGTGACAATTCCAGGTTAGGTGAATCAGGAGAAAAGCAAAAAGGACTTCGGTTAAGAAAAAATGTTGTATCAAAGTAAAAGGCTACAGTATCGATCCAGGGCTTCCCACAAAGAGCTGAGACCCGAACCCCTAATGACTGTATCACAATTGTTACAGAACTGGCTAGCTGGTATCGTACTACTGATGACAGACACAAAGCAGGAGCCATTTCCCCACCTTTCAAATTTGACACATTTAAAAATAACAACAGAGCCCATTCGATACAGTTTTCTTGCCCGGTTGGGCAGAATCGAAGTCCTAAGCGACTGTCAACCGTCGTGGAATGTTTCTGACAAAATGCCCGTGTTTCAAGGGGAGGTTTGCAATCGCAAGATGGACAAGGCCTTTGTGCAACAACAATAAAAGTCTACGATAAAGTTGTCAATAATTCAGAAACAGCCAAACCAACCAGGGCAAAGGTCTGCTTCTGGTATGGTCCATAATATGGGGAAAGGGGTCTAAGACCAAGTCTCATGCAGCAGAGCATAACACAATATCGAATTCTACAACAATGACCCAGAAATGTCACCCCATTGACATGGAAGATTCCATGCACTTTGTTCTTGGACTCCAAAAAGCAAAGAGAGCCCTCCTTCCGTATACGTGCCGAACATGCAGTGATAAGAACGAGCAGACATGTGCAGCAGCAGGCTGTCGGAAATGAAGCCAAGAATGATTGTTGTACAATCCGACACCGGCAATGGCACGTCATGTGTCAGTCCCTTGACGCAACCTAGGCTTGGATTCTCATCTGGTTCAGTGACAGGTGGGAAAAAATTCTCTATTCTCAAAAACATAAAAACGGTTTCGATCGTTAGGCCGAAGGTATATTATTAGTGGAAAGTATGCACCTTAGGAGGTGCTGTAAGTTGTGTTGCAGGATGTTCTTTATACTCGTGGATAAAATATACGGCAACACGTATTCATGGTGGGCAAGTTGATCCGGGACCTTTCACGTGATCTCTTATAACACACGACAGACAGATACAAGACATTTGGATCAACTTCTTGTATGCACAAGACTCTTGCTACATGCAAGTGGCGCCACTGTCTTGTCATTATGTAGCCGTGCCCTCCTGCAGAAACCCGCCTACACTGCATGGGAGATGCATAGAACAAATGGTAAGGATGGGGCAAGAATTAACGGCTTTAGAACGAAAACCTCCGGACTCCACCTGCCCACTTTCCCGGAATGTTACCAGCTTATTATTGACCCGGATAATTCCATCCGTTTCGATCGTGAGGCTTTTAATAGACGATCAGGAAAAGGTGATTCGCAAATGGCCCCTGTTAGTCACACACTAACCAAGCAGCTAATTTAACTATAAGAATCATAAGTTTGGTGTACAGTAATTGTGTTTGGGTGAGCAGGAACGAAACGTATAGCGATACAGTATCGTAGTAAAGAGCTCAATACAGGGTTGCTTCTATTCCATGTCTCACCTCATTATGCACGGAAGAACATCGATGGTTTGAGGTAATGACGCACAGTTTTGGTGCAAGAGTTCTATTTCGGCCATGGAGTCAGCAGCTTGTCCAAAATACAACACTGCCCGCGACCCACCATATTATGCATCGATCCAAAGTCGTCCATTCCCTCGTACTTTTGCTGTTGTGTGTAAACTGGGTGGACCATGTGAGCAGCTCCAATAAAAATGTACGGAGGTTGTACATACCCTCCCACCCCTGTCGCAAATCATGTGCTCTTCCGTATAGAGAAACGCCACGTAACGAGGGTGGAAAGGACAAAAAGACACCTGACGGCGAATGTGTCTGTGTGGCGACCCAGACGTCACATTGCCAAAAGCAACCATGCCAGGGAAATTGACAACAGGACCACAGATGTCATCTCACCAAGTGTTTTTCTGGGCAAGTTGCACACTAGGTCAACAACGGCTTTTTGTGAACCCCCGGATCGCCACAACCCAAAGTTGTGAACAATAGTGTTTCAGTAGCAGGGAAAAGAAGGTTGCAATAGGGGGTCAGCCGCTCTAGTTACCCGGTACAGCTCAGAGGTTAGGGAGTCACTGCACACAGCAGTCACGGGAAATTGTAACATTTTCACTGGAGGGCGAAAATTAAATAGGGTACGGCTGCATAACGGTCCCAGAAGCTGCACGAGATGGTACAGTTTGTGTGCCTAGAGCTCACGTACCTCGAGACGTAAACGAATCAGGGAAAGACCGCAAAGAAAAACAATGGTTTCGACGTAATTGTGTGCCAAAAGTCTACTATTTTTTCCTACTCTCTTGTCTCTAAAGTTACTCAAAGACAGGTGAACTTTATATTCTAATGTCCATTCATTCTTTCGTGCACATATGCACGTACATGTGAGAAGCGCGCACTAAGCCCCAAAAGGGAAAACAAGACAACTAAGCACAAAAGCGAGACGAGAAAAAGCACTACAGTAGCCATTGTGTAAAGGTAAAAGAGGCACAGCATGGTTATTCATATAAGCAGTCACTTGGCCAGCATGTATGTGTAGAACTTAACTGGTGGGACCTCTCGAGAAATTTTGCCCGACATTCACGATCCGACTTTACCACTGTACACGACTGAGGTTTTCTCTCAAACAATAACAGCGATACTCGCCACGACTAGCTGTCCAACCGCCCTCACTCAGCAGACCTAAACGTTGGCGTAGCATAATCTGCACTACCTGGTAGCCAGCAGAGCAGCTTCCATTTACGTACAACTGTACCACCAGCCACTGCATAATAAGCCCCCACTGCATATTAACCCTCCCAATAAATTTAGCTACAGTTTGCAACGCCACGAGTCACGATATTGTGAGACGACGACCATTTGGGGAGTTTACAGCACAGACGACACCAGAGCGCCGCTACACACGAACTTTGCCACGTTGCGACCCTTGAACTGACCATCGCAAAAAAACTACCGACACAGGGGCTTCCCAATACCAGCATTTGCACTCGACACTGGTTATATCTTCACACGACACGACGTTATTGCTGCTGTTTCACAAACCAGCTCATTATCGACACACACACAACGGACAGATGGACCCGCTCGAAGAAGACAAGGAGTGGGCGTCGTCGCTGGACTACCTGGACTACGGCCCTCGACTCAAGCCGTGCGTGAAATCGCCGAGTTCTTCGTCCGCGTCAGGAGGTTCCAGTTACACAAATGACCCGTCCCCTTCGCTGGACGACATTCTCAACAACAACGCCCAGCCGCCATACTCGCTGTCGGCGTTCTCTGCATACTTATCATCTAAACACTGTCTGGAGACCCTGGAGTTCATCATGGACGCCCAGAAGTACGCCAACATGTACGAGGAAAACTCGAACGACCACAAACTGTGCATTCTATGGCAACGAATGATGTTGTCATACATGGAGAGGGACTCTCCGCGAGAGCTCAATATCCCCTATGAGCTGCGAGACTCATTATGCGAGTTACCTGCTAACCCGGCCCCCAACCCCAATACCCTGAAGGAGGCCGTTGTTCAGGTCAAGGAACTGATGAAGGAAAACGGATACTATCTGTTCATCACCCAGGTGGCAAATGAAGACATGTGTTGCTGCCACCCGGGCAACAACTTGTCAAACGAACGACTCACCAGCATTCCAGTTTCGGCCCCTGACCGACTCAGACCGCCTCTTAGAGCAGTGGTCAAACATAGACTTACGTCGCCAGCTTCATCGGGCTCCTCTTCTCCTACACAACAGAGTCCCGTCACGCCACCGGAGTCACCTTCTCTATTTGAGGTCTCTATGCTACATAACGAGAAGGCCTCCACCAGCTGCTCCACTAGCTGTTCTCCTGCCATGGCCATTGTCTCCTCTACTCAGTTTGCAACTGCCATTGATATTACCCCTAACAAACACGGTGTCACCAATGGCCAGACTCCCTGCGAGAGCCCTACGGAGTCTTCCTGGAGACGAGTCAGCAAGAAGCTGAAGTGGCGAAAATGAAGCATTGGTGCGACACAGCCACAACTATACTAACAGTCACCCAAAATATCACGTTTCGTGATTCCCCCGCTACACAACACAAACACGACATTCACACAGCGGCTATTTATTAGAGATGTACATTATTAATTATCAGTTATGCCACCATTATTGCTGTAGAAGTCATACCCGTGTGAGTACAAGTACGATCGTACATACGAACAGATGGTTGTTCTTGGTAACTCTTGTTGAGAAACATAAATAATATTTTCACTCGTGTGCCGGTACTGTAGTTTACAGCTCACTGGAGGGACCACCACCAGGTTCGGTAATCGTACACACCATGGGGAAGGAGAGGAAGTGTCCTGAGCTGTTCATCAGACTGAGATCAAGTCAGTAGGTAGTTCCTGCTGATATTTAGATCACTATCAGTGATATTGTGTATTGCGTATAAATCCAGCCAGATATTACATTCAACACTTCTAGAAACATAGTCTCCACCAGATAGCCTTGTGTCTAACAGTGGCCCTCCTCATACATGTTGTACGCACCATTGTACACAACGGTTTCCAACGGTAGCTGCCTCTCGGCTATTTGGTCGGCCCGAATGCCGTATTCTCTGTTGTTTCTACAACGTGTCCTTGCTTGTATACGCATCGGACATCCGGGT